CCCTCACGCCATGCGTCCGCCCGCCCGCTCGCCAACCGCCGCCGCAACCGCCGCAACCGCCACAACCGCCGCCAGCTGGAGGACGTGCTGTCGCCAGAGCTCAGGGCCCAGCACTACAGCGCCCTCGACCCCGCGGCCGTCGCGGCGGCGCTGGACCGCTACAGGGAGGTGCCCTCCCAGTCCAAGAAGCAGCCCGCGTGGCCGAGCAAGAAGGCCGCCGATGCAGTTGCCCGGCAGCTGCGCGGCCAGATGGTCGCCGGCGCGGCGGGGCAGCGGGCGCTGGAGGGGCTGTGACGCGGGGCGGTGCGGCGCTGGGGCTTTGGCCCTGGGCTACGCGGCTGGCCGGGGCAGGGGAATTGGCGGCGGCGCCGGCGGCGAGAATCAGTCTTCACGCCTGCCGCCTGTCGGCAGAGACCGCCAGGGCGGGCCGCCGTGCGCCTGCGGCGCTTGCGGGGACGGCCGCCGGGCGTTGCTTTGCGATGGGGCTGCCGCTGCCCCGCCTGGCGGGTGCACACGCAATCAGGAGCGCGCGGCGCGACTGGTTACACAGTCTCGTGCCAGTCCGAATCCGCCTTTGCAAAAAGCTTTGCCCGAGGTGGCCCCGCTCCTCTGGGCCACTGCCTGCCGCGGCCCTTCCAGGATCGGCGCCCCGCTCTTGTTTTACAGCCAGCCGGCGCTCTTGCGCGGCGCCGCGGCCCTGACGGCCCGCGCGTGCCAGCGCGCGCAGTTGTCTGCGGCGAGGCAGCTGCCTGGCTGGGGCGGTTGTAATGACTGCGTCTGGAAAGTTTTCTGCAGTTCGGGCATGCGGCGGGTGCATCAGCTCCAAATTGTCCCGTAAAATACATATGTGAGGCTGCCAACCCCTGCAAGGCCTTCTACAGAGAGATCACTGTTGCCATGAGTCAGGCCGCATGACCCCCAAATGCGCCGGGTGCATTATTATGCTTGTACGGTGCCAATCTTGTTGAGTGCCTCGTGGAAGCGCCTCAGCCCACCTCAGCAGCTGTTATTGCTGCTTCTCGTGAAGCATTATACACCAGCTTTCTTGTGTTACTGTTCCTGTGGCGATCAGATGTGTGTGCATAAAGCAGCAGTCGTAATCGCTGTCGGCCAAGGGTGGCA